GGGTAGGTTCTGCTGAAGGGGGCGGCCCAGCGCGCCTGCACCCCCCGAAGAGTCCACGGGACGCGCGGCTCTGCCCAGGTCTGGATAAAACCCGCCATCTCTGTGGCGGTCTCTGAGGGCCACCTTTCCTGGCAGGGGTTCGGAGACGGAGTGAGGACCGGGACGGGCAAGGAGCGGAGCCTGGGAAGGCTGAGGCCAGAGGAAGATGGTGAGGGAGAGTTTGGGGACCTCTGGCCGGCTCCACCTGGCCCTGCACAGTTGGAGGCCAGGAAATTTTCTCCCCAAACACATCCGCAGGGGTCAGAGAGGCAGAGAAACAGGCGCCTGTAGTGAAGTGTTCAGCAAGGCTCTCAAAGAATATGCTCTTTTTAGAGTTTGGAGGTCATCCAGCGATTGTAACAAAGTACCCAGACATTAAAGGGACAAGTGGACTAGGAAGATTTTGGAAAACATTAACATTAAAATGCCTTTTGTGATTTGACTTTAATTACCTTTGCTTATGTCCCTGAAGAATAAAGGAATTAAGTTAAAAACATACAAACCTCACACCTGATTTGTCCCTAAAGGAGGTTTTGGGGTCAGCCAGACTTTCCCTCCCCCAAGCTTCCACATCTCAGGAAATAGCTCCCTAGTCAACTCAGTTGCTCAGTTGCAGGGAATTCGCCCCCAGCCTGTACCTCCATCCCTTGAATTCAGTGTTAGCAAGTTCTGTTGGGTTTACCTAGGTGTCTGGGCTGAGCCCTTCCTTCCCACAGTCTCGACCCTAGCCCGAAGGTATCAGCATCTCTCTCCGGTATGATTGCAGTCCTCCCCTCTCCAATTCTTTATTTGACAGCCAGAGTGATTTTCTTTTTTTTTTAATAAGTGAATCAGAATGTGATTTACTCCCAGAATGTGATTTAATGTGAATCAGTCCTCTGCTTAGAACCCTGCCATGGCTTCTCTCCTTGTGATTGGCGTGAAATCTAGGACACCTCCTTCCCCTCAGTTGATCCGGCCTCTGCCATCATCAACCACCTGGCCATTGCCCAAGCCACCCCTGCCCCCCACCAGCCACCCTGGCCCAGCTCACTCTCCAGCATGTGGCCTCTGCAGTGCTGGCCCTGGAGTCTTCACATGGCCAGCATGTTAAGCTCAGCCTCTTTCTCAACAACCCTCTCTCGCTGTCCTTCTGGAGCCTCCCCTGGTGTTGTGTTCCTTCTTCATGTATTTCATTTCTCCTTTAATTACCTGGCAGTCTCTTCTGGAGCTCCAGGGACACAGACCAGTATTGCTCACTGCTGGGTCTTCACTCCCAGAACTAAGAGGTGCCCAGGACACATGGTATAGTGATGGAATGGTGAATGGACAGCCTTAACCCGTTTGTGGTTTCAGACTCCTGAAGGGCTTCTGTTCCCAAACCCCTTGGGTGCTCATCTGAGATGGAGACCACACATTTCTCTGGTCTGCAGCTCCATGATATTTTGATGCTCACAAATCCATTAAACACATTTTGTAGCAAGCCAGTAACTAGTCAGGGAGACTAGCAGTGCCAAAAGGATGTCAAGGACCATGGGCCAACCATCCCTACCAGGCTTCTCATTCAAAGAAATTACTGGATAATATGAGAATTACTCACATGCTTTATTTGCAAGCGTCTTCGGTACTGGCAATCCTTTCCAAGCCTTCTGAAAAGACAGATGAGCAGGTGCAGGTCCTCCTATGTTTCTCTCTATTTATCCTGTGTCTGAAACTTTGTAACTGTCCCTTCCTGACCAGCTGTAAGTTTCATGAATTACATGGCAGTTCACTCCATGGAAAGGGCCCAATGAAAACATCTGTACAAAGGTCAAGTTCCTTTTTTTCTTTTTTCATTAAGTATTCAGGTTTATTCGTTAATGCAGGTATAAAGAACTGGCAAATGAAAATTGGTGAGGTTTTAAAGATTATTAAAATAATTATTACAAAAAAAAAATCCTCTCGAAACTCTCTTAAGAATGTATATACACCATGATGGCAAGATAGACCTGTAACTTACAACCATGATTTGTTGCATTGATCTAAACCCAAAAGGAGCAGGAAGAAGCAAAGATCCGTTTGAGGGCAAAAATTGAGCAAAAACTGAGTTACCTCATTTTAAAACTTCTACCTTAGAGTCTAAGCCAACATACAAATTGCAATTGAAAAACTCCAGTGGTAAAAAATCCTTCATTGGTAAAGTGATTTTTCAAAAGGAAACTGAAAATGAAAAGGGGAACAAAATGTGCTGGGCAAGGGTTGGCCTAAAATATTTTAACGATTTTTTTTTTATCACTTAAAAGCATTCTATGGTAAGACACTTCTGTTTTCAGAAGGAACATCTACTAGCATTTGGATTTTGAGGTGTTGTTAGGTGTATGTGGTAGCTGATTTTAAGAGGTGTTTGAAAGCAGATAGGAACTGTGCCTCTTGGTTTCTGAATGTTACTGTAGGATTTGGAGCCTTTTTATTTATTTAGTTTTTTTAATGTTTATTTTTTGAGAGGGAGAGAGAGAGACAAAGCATGAGTGGGGGGAGAGGCAGAGAGGGACGGAGACACAGAATCTGAAGCAGGCTCCAGGGTCTGAGCTGTCAGCACAGAGCCTGATGCAGGGCTCGAACTCACGAACCGTGACCTGAGCCAAAGTCGTACGCTTAACCAAGTGAGCCACCCAGGCGCCCCTGGAGCCTTTAATTTAAGACGGAGATTATTTTCGTCTTCAAGTTGATTTTCCTGTCTCAATTTGATTTTCCTAATCAGGTTTTGCAATCTACAGTGCTTTGATGGTCTCCTAAATTTTGTCCAGATTGATCATTTCTCCTTGGAATTTTTAGGCTCCCAAACTTCAGACACAGGCTTTCCTATGTATGGCTTCCTCAGACCTTTCACTCTTTAGTTCAGAAAGGTGGGGGTGCATCATGGACGAGTCCTCTGGGGCAGGCTTTCCAAGCTCCCCCTTCCCCTGCCTGTAGGAGTACAACCCACCTGGGCCAGGTGCCCGATTTCCAGACTCTAAGATGAGACAGCCCCAGTGCTCTGCCCTCCAGCCTTGATGTTCTGAGCTTGTTAATCAGCGAGTAGCAGGGAGACCCTGCTGGTCTCCCAGGCCTCCTGCTGGTATTGTAGGTAAGAACCACAACTCTGGCCCTGTTGTAGAAAGTGATTCCAGAAAATTTACCTTACTTGAAATCACATAGCCACCCCAAGAGGTTCCCTGGGTGAGAGGCTGCATGTCTATTTTTAACAGATGGGAAAACTGAGACACACATAAGTTTTGGCTTGAGGTCACACTGCTGATCTGTGACAGAGACAGTCCAAGCCTTTGACATCCAACCTGTGCTTTTTTCCTTTCCATATTGTCTTGGGTATGATTTATATGACCTTGATTTTTTTTTTTTTTACTACACTTTATCAGTCTCCATTTCAGAGGTATGTGTCTCAGAGAATAGTTGCTAATTACTTATGTAATGGTTCTAGAAGGTTCTGAGCAGGTTCTAGAAGGTACCCTGAACAGTATGGGCACTGAGCAAGCTACCAAATAAGGCTGGAAGAGCACTGGGGCTGCCTCATCTAGAGCCTGGAAATCGGGCACCTGGTCCAGGGGGGCTGTACTCCTAAAGGCAGCGGAAGGGGGAGCTTGGCAAGTCTTGCCCCAGAGGACTTGTCCATGATAGTATAGACTCTACACCAACACTAATAGAAACACACACATTTCATATACTAATCCCCTCCCCACTGTGCAATGTATCCCATGCCAGGCCTGAGCTGGACCTGGGTCTTTCCCTCAAGGCAATGGATGTCACCTGTGTTGGGGGCACCACCCTCCCCCCAAGTTCAGTGGGAGCCCAGCATGAGAGAACCGCACTCTGCTTCGGCATTTACCACAGTTGTACTGGTTTGGGGCCAGATAAGTCTCTGTTGTGGGTGGTGCCCTGTGCATTATAGGAAGTACAGTAATATCCCTGACCTCTACCCACTAGTTGTCTGTAGCACCCAGACCCTGAGTTGTGATGACCAAAAATGCCTACAGACATTGCCAGATGTATCCAGGCAGGCAAAATGTGGGGCTCCTTTCTGTTATCCCCCAGGGTGCACACTGACTTGTCTTCATAACCAGTACCAATGCCTTCTGGAACCCTCACTTCAGGACTGTTGCCTGGTTGCCTCTTTGGGATTACATGCTTGCCTCTGGGCTTCTGGAAGAGCTGGTCCTGGGCAGAGGGGAAACCTTATATTGTGACCAGTTTAAAGTGCATCTGCCCCACCCCAGCTGGAGTGTGAGCCCCTGAAAGCAGAAGCCTCGAGTAGTCATATCAATGTCGCTGTGCAATTGACAAGGGTTATGTGTTGACTAAACAATGGCTGAGCCCTTACCAGTAGGTGTCTGTCATTGTTGGGGTTTCTTAGGACTGTTTTTAAGTAGACATGATCAGCGGGGTGCAAGTTGGGGTGGGGGCAGCTCATCCTTTCACTGCCCCCACCTGACTGGGCATGGCTAGACAGACGGAATGTCAGGAATGTTGCAAGAAGAGAAATACCTGTGCGATGTATAAATAGTAAATGTATTGGGGCCCCTGGGTGGCTCAGTTGGTTAAGCGTCTGACTTTGGCTCAGGTCATGATTTCATGGTTCGTGAGTTCGAGCCCCGCAACAGGCTCTGTGCTGACTTCTCAGAGCCTGGAGCCTGCTTTGGATTCTGGGTCTCCTCCTCTCTCTGCCCCTCCCCAGCTCATGCTCTGTCTCTGTCTCTCTCTCAGAAATAAATAAACATTAAAAAAAAAACATTAAAAAAATAAAATAAATAGTAAATGTGTGCAAGGGTACAAGAAGGAACTTAACAATTAAGAAAAGCTTTCTGATTTTATAATGTTTTTCACCACCAGAACGAGACTGCTTTCTGCTCAGCCATGATGGCGTGTCTGTGCCTCAGTCCACCCTCCGGGCAGCGGTGGCGGCGGTGACCCTGGCCAAAACTGACTTGGAGAATAGCCACCGAGGGTTGATGGCTGGCATGTCTCGGCGACCGCCCAGCATGTACTGGTGTGTGGGTCCAGAGGGCTCAGCTGTGTGTCCAGAACGTACCATGGAGACCCATAATGGTAAGAGCAGGGCCAGTCTCACATGCTGGGCACAACCTGCAGTTCCTGTCCTGTGGGGAGTCTAGAACCAGGGGTGTTCAACCCGAGGGTTGAAAGTCTCATTATAAAACTTATCGTGGGATTCTCACTTAAATTCTAAACATTAGGGGCTGTGGGCCAAAATTTATTATGGAGTCAAGGATCCTAAGAATCAGGGCATTACTTCATGTTGCTTAAAGGTTTTTTGATGGGGATTTGGTTTCATGATAAAAATGATGCATATTTATTAAAAAAGAGAGAAGTAGGAAAAAAAAAATATTGCCCAGAGTGCCACTGCCCTAAACACAAGCACTGCTACTGTCTTGAGATGTTCTCTTCTAGTCTGCTTCCTTCTGGGCTTCAGGGATTTTGTTTTAATTTTGTAGTGTATAGTTTACTATCCTACTTTTTTCCTCCTAAGTTCACCAGTCACCTAGCTCGTATGATCTGGTGAAACATCTTACGTGGGAACACTGTGTAAAATGATTGACCTAGTCCTCACTCTCCTGTGGGGTGTGTGGGGATATATAGGTTGCTTCTAGTTGCTGAATCTTACCAAAAACATCCCCTCCTGTTTTTACACTTAGTTTTAAGACTATTTCCATAAAGTAGATTTGTAGGGAGATTATTAGGTTTGAACACTTTTAAGCCTCTTTATACGTATGGCCAGATTTCCACTAGAGTTAGTTACACCACTTTTAAAAAATTTTTAATGTTTTTATTTATTTATTTATTTATTTATTTATTTATTTATTTATTTATTTATTTTTAGAGAGAGAAAGAGAATGTGAGTGGCAAAAGGGCAGAGAGAGAGGGAGACAGAGAGTCCCAAGCTGGCATCACACTGTCAGCACAGAGCCCGACACAGGGCTCTATCCCACGAACCGTGAGATCCTGACCTGAGCTAAAATCAAGAGTTGGACACTCAACTGACTGAGCCACCCAGGCGTCCCTATGTGTTTTACCACTTTTAACACTATTAACACAAGTTAAGAGGATGGCAGTGACACTGCTGAGGTTTTTTTTTTTATTCTTTTTTTTTAATTTTATTTTTTTTTCATTTCCTAATCAGTATTTTTTTAAATTTAAATCCAAGTTAGTGAATATATAGTATAATAATGGTTTCAGGAGTAGAACCCTGAACACTTACATATAACACCCAGTGCTCATCCCAGCAAGTGTCCTCCTTAATGCCCATCACCCATTTAGCCCATCCCCCACCCAGTATCCCACCAGCAGCTCTCGGTTTGTTCTGTGTATTTAAGAATCTCTTATGGTTGGTGCCCCTTCTGTTTTTATATTATTTTTGCTTTCCTTCCTTTTTGTTCATCTGTTTTGTATCTTAAATTCCACATATGAGTGAAGTCATATGATATTTGTCTTTCTCTGACTGACTTATTTCGCTTAGCATAAGACACTCTAGTTCCATCCACGTTGTTGCAAATGGCAAGATTTCATTCTTTTTTATTGCTGAGTCATATTCCATTGTATGTATATACCACATCTTCTTTATCCATTCATCCATTGATGGACATTTGGGCTCTTTCCATACTTAGGCTATTGTCAATAGTGCTGCTATGAACAATGGGGTGCATGTGCCCCTTAGAATCAGCATTCCTGTATCCCTTGGATAAATACCTAGTAGTGCAATTGCTGGGTCATAGGGTAATTCTACTTTTAATTTCTTGGGGGACCTCCATACTGTTTTCCAGAGTGGCTGCACCAGTTTGCAATCCCACCAGCAATGCAAAAGAGTTCCTTTTTCTCCACATCTTCGCCAACATCTGTTGTTGCCTGAGTTGTTAATTTTAGCCATTGTGACAGGTGTGAGGTGCTATCTCATTGTGGTTTTGATTTGTATTTCCCTGAAGATGGGTGATGTTGAGCATTTTTTCATGTGTCTGTTAGCCATCTGGATGTCTTTGGAAAAGTGTCTATTCATGTCTTTTGCCCATTTCTTCACTGGATTATTTGTTTTTTGGATGTTGTGTTTGATAAGTTCTTTATAGATTTTGGATGCTAACCCTTTATCTGATAGGCAGAGATACTGTTGTTAACAATAAATATTTGTTAAGTCCCTAGTACATACCAGGCACTAGATTCAGTGTTTTAGGTTGTTGAATTCTCACAATGACCTATAAAATGGATATTTACCCCCATTTTATAGCTGAGGAACTTGAGAGTAAAGAGATGTGTAGATACGTGGTGAAGGTCAACAATTTATAAGTGGCAGAACTGCTGTTTGAACCGTGTCTTAACTCTAGAATTTCTCGCCCTTAAAATCTAGGCCATTGTGTAGGATATGAGAGGGCCCATATGTTGGGTTTGAGAGGGCCAGGGTGTTTGTACCCTTCATCAAGTTAGCGATCCAACAGTGCACCTGGCTCAGCAGATATTGACAGTTACTCGAGTGTTTTTCTTCATTGAAAATGCCCAAAAGCTAACTAGGGTGATGTTCCTGGAAGACTTCTTTGTGCATAAATCAGATTATGAAATGGGAAAAGAATTTGTTTCTTGACATTGCCCAGCACTAAATGTTCCCAGAATGTTCGATTTGCATCCTTTGAAAAGTTATTTCTCTCTTAACGACGTATGTCTTTTTTTTTTTTCTCTCTTTTTGGCTGCTTGTTAGAAAGGTGACCTGTGGAAGAACATAATACCCGCTGTTTGGGTAGCACCTCTACTTTCCAGCTCCATTATTCTACCTATCTCTCCTCTTTGCAAGGGACATTGGGGTTTACTGGGTGGGTGACTGTGGCATCTGAAAAAACCCTAGAGGGGATCTGCCCAGTCCCCTTCCTGGTCAAGAGTTGATGACCTAAATGAGTGGCTCTCTACCCTCGCCCTCAGAAACACTGGGATGTCTAAACTACCATTGGCCAGGAAGCCCCTAGGCATAAGCATTTAAAAAAAGTGTTCCACCCCCTCTTCATGATTCTAATGTGCAGCTGAGACTGAGAATCAATGGGTCTAAATGGGTTGGGTCCGTAGAGCAGCACTTCCCAAATTGTAGTATATACTTGAATCCCCAGGCGATCTTGGTGACCTGCGGATGCCCACTGGGTAGGTCTGGGGGCCCCCAGAGCCTGTGTTTCTAATAGGCTCCCAGGTCATGCTGATGTTCTAGTCTACCCACCAAGTGCAAGGCTGAGATGATACTTTCTGAGGTGTCCACCCTAACCCCACTGATTCTTACGGACCCTGGGGACCTCGGTCAGTGGACTCTGAACAGACATGGATCCAGCCCTGCCTCCAGGCCTGAGATAAGACAGATAACCAGAAAATGTTCATGTGCACTGAGAGGCCAAGCACTGAAACTACCCAGCCTCCATTTTTTCTTCCCTTCGAGGTCTGTCTGGACTTTACCCTTCTCCCATAGAAGGGTTCCCCACTAGCTTAGAAAAAGCAGGCTCAGAAAAGTCTTTTCTGCTCCAGGGGCCTCTTTCCCCAGTGGAATCTCAGGATTCGCCACCACCCTGCTCTGAATGAACCATAGGACACACACAAGGGTACAGGAGCTTATGGGAGTCATGCAGCCCCCACTGGGGACTGCTCTGGGTGCTGGGGGTTGGAGGGAGGGGTTCCCCAGGGGAGGTGATGTCTTGTGAATCCCTGATGCTAAGGGAGGTGTTTACGTGAGGACAAAACACATAAACCACAGAGTTGAAGAAGATAAGAGGAAAGTGGCCTGAAATGCATGGGACAATTCTGTCCTATGGCTCAGCATTATGGCAATTATTTTCTCTGTTAAGGAATTATAATAGTAATTGAATTCTCCTAAGGACTCAATGAAGAAGTGCAAATTTATGCCCGCACTCCCAAGGTAGAAAGGTACCACAGGTGGTTGCAGAGGAGCTGAGGGTGGGAGTCCCGCCTTGGGACCCTCAGGGACGACTTTCAGCACTCCCTTCCTGCTGGCAATGGGCTGCTTACTTAGTGGCCAGACGTCAGGCACCTTCTGGCCTCCTATAGCCACCATTGAACCCCCGTGAGAGCAGTGGAAGAATGAGGGCAGAGGAGGACACCCCCCCCACTCCTTGCCTGTCCCCTCCCCAGAACAGCATCACCATGGGGACCTCCACAGGATCCCACAGGCACTGGGGATGTTAAATCTATTACCTGTGGCTCTGATGTTAAATCTATTACCAGAGGCCCTGCTAATTGCATGTTCGCTAGAGTGACGAGGACTTCTGTGACTGTCTTGTTTGAAACCCACAGGTTGCTTCTGACGGTGTTTTCTTTTTTTAAGTTTATATATTTATTTATTTTGAGATAGAGAGAGAGAGTGTGCGCACACAAGCAGGCGAGAGGCAGAGAGAGGGAGAGAGAGAATCTTAAGCAGGCTCCACACTGTCAGCGCAGAGCCTGACGTGGGGCTCGATCTCACAGACTGTGAGATTATGACCTGAGCCAAGATCAAGAGTTGGACACTTAACCAACCAACTTAAGCCACCCATGCGCCCCATGACTGTGTTCCTTTTCTTTTCACTGAGAGGGAAGCAGTGGGCAGACACACAATGGGATTCACACAATGTAAGGTTGGGGTTGGGGGAAGGGTGGGGAGCTTAAGGGCCTGCCTGTGGGGTTAATCGGGACTGCATTCAATTCTTCGTGCTGGGTGACCTCCACTGAGTGGCTCAACTTCTCCGAACCCTGATTCAGGCAGACACAGGATCTCAGTGGGATGCACCAATGACAGTTTATTTCTGGCCTCCACACCAGCAGGTGGCTGGGGAGGCTCTATTACACGGAGCTGTCTGAAGCTCTGCTTCACGTGACTCCTGTTCTTCTGAGACCAGGGGACGCTCTTCCCCTACCAATGGCAGAGATGCAAGTGGAGAAAGCAGAAGCATGCCAGTTCTCTTAAGGCCTTGGCTCAGAATGGCATGCTGTTGCCCTTGGCCAAAGCAAGTCACAGGGGAGAGCCCAAATCAAGAGCTCCATCCGTGAGGAGGCCGTGGCCAGGCTGTGGATGCAGACAG